ACCCTGTGGAGAACCAGAGGAAGACAGCAAAGCATCAGATAAACCATCATGTACTCTGACACATTGAGATTTGGTAGTTAAAAAATCCATTAGCCAATATATGAGACCTGATTTAATTTTATGTATACTTTTTAACCTTTCTGCTAGAATATGTGGCTGTATGCAGTTAAAAGCAGAAGAAAAATCAATAAAAACAAGATGTGCAAAAGTATTAGCTGCCTCAAGGTGTGAAAGAGCCAAGTTCAGTAAAGTGCTTACAGCGTCATCCACCCCTCTGCTGGGCCTGTAGGCAAATTGCAGTGKGTCCAAGCTGGTTTTAACTGTAGTTAAAAGGGCTGTCTTAATTACTTTCTCAAGTGACTTCATAACTAAGGATGTAAGGGCTACAGGCCTGCAGTCATACTGCTGTTTACGATCTCTGTTTTAAGCGTTTGGGACAGTGATGGACTCTTTCCATAAAYGTGGGACCTTGTTGAGGTAGAGGGAGCTTGCTTTTGGAACAAAAGAAAATAAAAAATTAATCAGAATTTATGGTAATTTTAAACATTTATTTTAACAATATCTTAAAAATAATAAAACAGTGCTGTAAATGTAGTCTATTTATGACAGCAGGGATTTAAAAAAAGTAAAAGTAACTGGTCAATAATACCAAAAAGACGTCCAATTAAAGGCTGGCCTCAACACTATCTGATTAGAAAAAAAAACATACCTCTGATGTTTAATTTGTGTTAAATTAGGGTTTTTATCAAATTATTAAGTTTTCTTTTATGACTGCTGTAGGTTCTCCACGTATTTTGAAGTTTCAGCTGCAATTTCATCAAAAGTTAGTTACACGGAGCGATGAGGTAAGGCTTACTCTGGAGTAAAGGAAAAATGGTTTAAACTTCAAGGTCTCGCAGGTCTGAAACAATGTTTCCAGCAGGAAAAGCCAGGTCAACATTATTTATCGCAACATCATATAAAAAAGCCTGAACACATTAATCTATGGCAATAAGGGTTTTTGTTGTTGTTAACAGCTTTTATTGATTTGGTTATTGGGTAGAAGAGAGGAACTGATCCGCATATATATAAAATTGTTATTTGTGACTGTGTTGTAACTGTGTTGTAACTGTGTTGTGACTGTGGTGAAATGGTCCACATATCTTCCTTTGGCTTCCAGTACTTTGACTAGTATTTTGCTGAAACAAACACACACACACACACACACACACACACACACACACACACACA